AAAAGAACCAAAGACTTAAACTACTTCAGTCTGTGTGCACTGAATTTATTTAATACACGAGTTTCACAATTTGAGTTGAATTACTGAAATAAATGAACTTTTCCACGACATTCTAATTTATTGAGATGCACCTGTACTACAATTACGGGCCATAAATGGACATTTCAGCATTTGACAAAGGGATAGCGACTTATAAGTAGCACTTAAAGCACAGCTACATGTGATACTGTTAAGTGGATTTTTGGGAAACTCACGTGAAACAATAATGAACGATCGTAAATTGACTCGTAGAAAACGCTCTTAAGCACTAAGATCATCGTTATCTAGACACGCAGTGCTGTATGGCCAAAAATTACGGAGTAGCCTATTTTAAATTGTTTCCTTCAGAACGAGCCAGCGCGTTCGTCGGCCAGAGGGTTAATGAAAACTAGCCTATTTAGTTTCATATTTATGTTTAAATATTAGGCAGTAATATTATATTTTTTTTCATCTATGTTGATAATGAAAAGTGAACAACATGACTAAGATAGACTCATAAGATGCGCAATATGTCGGGAGACATGGAGTGGGTCAGACACAATTTTGACCATTTCAGTTTTGTTTTGTAAAATGCCTTTCTTTAAATTGAATTTCGTTTTGTATAAATTGTATCTTTTTTAAATTGTCATCAATGTTTCATCAACCAACTGTCTAATATAAATTAATTTAATATAGGAAGATAACCAAGAACGTCGGGCGTGTAATGGATTTAATTGCGTAACAAACAAGCATACCAGTTTCCGCGGCCTTTGAGTAAGGCTGAAAATACGTCCTGTTTTTAATAAATTTCTTGAATACATGTCTTAATTAAGCCTACTTAATTAATTGATGTTATTGATTTTAGTTGGTCTAAATTAAGTAGATTAGACACAAATTCGCTTATATGGTTTTCCTACACGAGCGCTGTTTATGTGCCTCATAACCAGGGGCGTTGCACAAGATCCCGGGCCCTATGCATAGGCAGTCCTGATGGGCCCCCATGCCCCCCATACTATTTTAGTTTTTTAATCCCTCTCTTCCTTTGGGGCCCTGGTAATCAGTACTGGTTTTACCCCCAGTCGGACGCCCCTGCTCATAACCGTGCAACCCAGGTGTGTGTGTGTGTGTGTGTACTTCGTAAAAGATTTTTTACCAGGTTTTTTTTTTTGTGCATATTTAAGAGTTCTGTCTTTCCACTTACAGCTGCAGTGATGAAATGGAGCAAGGACGCAACTGAAGAAATTATTAAAAAACATGCTTCGGAGCACCTCAAGCATGCACCAGCAAGAAGCCAGGGAGGTGGACACACACAATAAACAATTATACAATTTAAATTAATATAAATAAATAAGTTTTAATTGAATGCGCCTTGTGTCTGTTTATTTGTCCTGTGGATGTCAATATTGGTTGTTCAAAAGATGTCATAAAAAGACGTCATAAAAACTTTCATTCTAGCTCTTCAGGGGACATCATTTCAATGTCCAACAAAGACGTTGAAAAGACGTCGTTTGGACGTACTTTTGCTCAGTGGGACAGCATATCTAGCCTCTTGCTTGTTTTTCTACAAAGACCATACAATAAATCTTTGTACAGCGTATATATTGAATTTGGTTCCTGTGTGCATCACAACATTTCTAGAACTTTTAATTTTAAAACTAACAAATCACCTTTCTTTATGTCCCTCTCATAGTTTCTGTGATGCAGAGACCAGCTGTGGTGAATGACAGCTTCAAGCCCATCATCATTAACACAATGGTGGTCCGATACAAAGAGTTCCTGCATAGACTGGGCAAAGTGCTGAAACTTAAGTGGCTACTTGGCAAAGAAGTCCAGGTGTCACAGGTCCCACTCGGCTGCTCCGAACCCGGGTCTCCGGCACACAGAAATTTTAGCACTTAGAGTTTTCCATTGTTCTGTAGTCAACAGGTTTTTCTTTTTTTTCTTTCTTTCTTTTTTTTTTTTTTTTTAAATGCCTGCAAATTTTAAGAAAAACT